GAGCCATTTAAAAGAAGAAATTAGCATCATAAATAAAATAAAAATTGTAATCTTATGACTTTTTAAATATCTGTCTTCAATATAAGTTTAAAAATTAGAGAAAAAATTATGGAAAAAATTGATTTTTAATGCCCTACCATGAATCTGGCAATGATGTGTAGCATTTGTCATTTATGTCTTCCGTCAATCCATCCCTTAATATCTGACTGTCCTGCACACTTCAGCCTTTGGTTCAGTTTCATATGATTAGAAACAAATCTGTACAGGTGTGTTATTACTTGAGGTTTACTGAGGTATAACATCAACTCTCTCTTTTGACCATGGCTTTTTTTTCTTTTATGTTAAAAAAACTGTATTTTTTCAGATAGGGTGCAAGAGTTATAATCAAGATGGCATTCACTCAGCCATCAAAGCGAGGTGAATGGGTGGAAGAAAAGATTCTTGGGTCTGGAGGCTTTGGTCAAGTTGTTCTCTGGAAAAATGAGGTAAAATATAGATGATGAACTTCAGTATCTCGAACATCAATATCTAAAATATCCTAGAGTATTTTATATAATTTCAAGGTTTTTGTCTGTATCTTTCAAATTCAATTCTTTCAAATATCTTTCAAATTCAAATATCTTTTCAAATATATCTTGAATACAAAATACATAATGTAACTTTGCATTGTAAAACAAGTTATTTTAAAAATCATGCATGTATTTTCATCCCTGCTACAGGATTCAGGAGAATATGTTGCCATAAAAAAGTGTCGTGTTCAAAGTGAAATGACGCAGAAGCATCGAGAACGATGGACCTTAGAGGTGGACATTATGAAACGTTTAGATCACCCCAATGTTATAGCTGCCAAAGAGGTACCCCCAGTACTGAATGTTGGTACCGGAGAGCTCCCGTTATTGGCCATGGAGTATTGTCCTGGAGGGGATTTACGCAAGGTATATAACAATAATTCAAAGTAGACAGTATAAAAAAAATCTGTGGCATATTGGCATTCAAGATCTTAACAGCTAGCCTTGCTGCCAGGTTAGATATATATGTATGGGTCTTTTGAAAGACTTGGCTAGCGTATATCTAACAGGATTAAAGATCTACGTCCATCTTATTTATAAGCTTCAGACTTGAATGCAGCTCAGCATAACTAAGCGACAAATCTTTATATACTTTAAGGTATCAAGAAGGCTGCATTTGAGAGAGAATCAAAGACGATGTTTTATATTTTGTTTAAAAAACTCTTAATATATCTATATTATATTTGACCTGAAGAGACATAGCAAAATAAATGAACTACATTAAACATTTTGCCAACAGGTGCTGAATAAACCAGAGTACTGTGTTGGACTAAAGGAGTTTGACATTCGGTGTCTTGTGAGGGATATTGCTTCAGCCATTGAATATCTACATGGTAAAAGAATCATTCATAGGGACTTAAAACCAGAAAACATTGTGCTGCAGACACAAGAGGAACAGGTTCGGTAGCTTATGTACCTCCACTGAATTTCAAATGACCTTTGTATGAGTAGTGTTAATTTCACTTATGTGCTCTAGCCATAAAATTGATATAACCTGTCAATTCTTGTTTTGTTCTAATTTCAAAATTAGGTGCTTTGAAGGGTTAACTTTTCTTTTAGAACTTCTCTACTTTCTGGTTTTTCCTGATAAACTCTTCCTCCTTACAATCTGCCTTATCCAGTTTTCCTCTTCCTCTACATTTCCACTTTCTTCTCTTCATCTCCATTAATTCCTCCTCATCCTCTACTTTTCCAATTATTCCTTCTCCTCCTTTACATTTCCACTCATTCTTCCTCCTCTTCCTCTACAGTTCCACCTCATTCCTCCTCCTCCTCTACATTTTGACTCATTCCTATTCCTCCTCCTTTCAATTCTACTTATTCCTCTTCCTCCTACTCCCGTACATTTCCACTGATTTCTCCTACCCCTCTACGTTTCCACTCATTCCTCCTCCTCTGCATTTCCACTTATTCCTCCTATATTTCAACTCATTCCTCCTCCTTCTCTACATTTCCATTCATTCCTGCTCTTTCTCTACATTCTCCCTTATTCCTTCTCCTCTTCCTCTACATTTCCACTCATTCTTCCTCCTCTTCTTCTACATTTGCACTCATTCCTCCTCCTCTTCTTCTACATTTGCACTCATTCCTCCTCCTCTTCTTCTACATTTGCACTCATTCCTCCTCCTCCTCTTCTACATTTCCACTCATTCCTCCTCTTCTTTCTATACATTTCCAATCATTTTTCCTCCCCCTCTACATTTCTATTCATTCCTTTTTCTCCTCCTCTACATTTCCATCATTCCTCCTACATTTCCACTTATTCATCCTCCTTGTCCTGTAAGTTTCCACTATTCCTCTTTTAAACCTTTGTTATTCTCCACTTTAGATTAGATATTACTTATAAGTTTGATTGTGCCACTAACCAATTCAACTATGTAATGCATTATTTTATTTTATAGACTGTATACAAACTGATAGACTTGGGTTATGCTAAGGAGCTAGATCAAGGAAGTGTTTGTACCTCCTTTGTTGGAACTCTCCAGTACTTGGTAAGTTGTGTTATCTCTCCTAGGCAATGAATCTGATTTGTATTATCATTAAAGTCTTTTGTTTTACACACAGTAAATTGAGAACTGACTCTGCATCTTACACTGTTTTGCTAGGCCCCTGAACTGTTTGCCAGTCAGAAATACACATGCACGGTAGACTACTGGTCCTTTGGGACTGTGGTGTTTGAATGTATTACAGGATTCCGTCCCTTTCTCCCTCAAGTCCCACCAGTTACATGGCAAGTAATAATGTTTAATATTACATGTAACTAAAGGCCTTCACTCATATCTTAGGACAAACTGCAACAAGATCATAAAATTGGTTGAATAATACCAACTACTAGTATAATTTGCATGATTGTATAAGTTCTCAAATTTTGTGTGAAGTTTTATACTTACATGTAACTTTGAAATAATGTTTGTATTCCAGGCATAGGGAAGTTTGCAAAAAATCTCCCGAAGACATAACAGCATTTTATAATTCTGAAGGAGTGGTAAAATTCTCCAAGAAAATTGTAACACCAACACATTTATGCAGGTAACTTGGACGTTTGTCTTAAAATACAGGCACAAGAACAGATTACTTTTATTTGCAGAAATGGGGTTAGAAAATAAGGAAGAATTTTTCAAAATATGAAAAAATCATACTGAATATAAGAAATATGAGATGCGGAAAAATTGCATTTTATCCTCTTGCAAAGAAGTTGTAGGGGAATGGATATACCCTGTAGTAACAGTTTGTGAGTGTTGTAAGTGAATTAAGTATTTGTGCATAACGGAAGTGATAATTCACACTGGAATAGAAGTTATTTTCTAGCTTTCTTGTGAGAAGATGATCTGCTTTGTGAGACCTTGTTTCTGATACGAGCCTTCTTTTTACTCTTTAGAAGCATGCAGGCCTATTTTGAGCAGTGGTTACGACTGATGCTGAGGTGGGACCCTAAAGCCAGAGGTGGAGGGCTCATTGAGGGGAGACCGCAGTGCTTCAAAATCCTGGACACAATGCTCAGCATCAAGGTAAGCAATGGGATGAAGTGTTGTATCATGATTATTGAAAGCTAAGCCATATAAGCTATTACATATCATGATTTGCAATACATTGATGGAGTACAATACTGATACCTATGATATTTGCTTAACAGGTGTTTACCTTAATTCTGTATATGTCAGCCCAAAGTGGAAAGAAAAATTTACGAAATTCTATTACACTTTAACTACATACATTGTTGAAAACTTACAGTTAGTCTGGATTCTCTTTCCTCTGGGAGGAAGACCAAGTGTGGGTTTCCGATGATGAACTAGATATCACAAATTAAGTTTAATTTAGCAAAGTCGATATTGTAATTTGCAGATAGTGCACATTTTATATGTGGCCAACAATCAACTATTATCCTACCCATTGCTGGACAACTATTCTATGCTTGAACTTCAAGAAAATATTGAAAAAGAAACAGGGGTGAAAGTTCAGGATCAAGACATTCTATTGGCTAGTGGGGCATCACCTGACCCTAACCTTGGAGCACATCAGTGCTGGACAGCTCCGGTATGCTCTATGATTTTCTTTACAACATGAATGCCATTATGATTCAGATTCTGAGAAAATAAGAGAAATTAGAGTTTGATAAGTGATGTTAAATTTTACAGGGAGAGGAGGATTGGGTAGTGTTCATGTTCATCAAGGGAGAGAATCAAGGTGGTGGAGATAAAAAGAACAAGCCATTGCCACCTAATGTTCAGAGCATTGTGAAAGACTCCAAAACAGCTTTGCCATATAATGTATGTAAAGTATATTTCAAGGGTTTTTTTTCAAATAAGGGGGAGATAAAATATTGCTTTTTAGCTCACCTGAGCCGAAGGCTCTGAGCCGAAGGCTCAAGTGAGCTTTTCTGATCACGTTTTGTCCGTCGTCCGTCCGTCCGTTTGTTAACTTTTCACATATTTGACTTCTTCTCAAGAACCACTGGGCCAATTTTATCAAACTTGGTACAAAGCATCCTTAGGTGAAGGGAATTTTAAATTATTAAAATAAAGGGCCAAGATCCCTCACAAGGGGAGATAATAAAGAAAATACAAAAATAGGATGGGGTCATTAAAAAATCTTCTCAAGAACCACTGGGCCAGAAAAGCTGAAACTTATGTGGGAGCATCCTGGGGTTGTGTAGATTCTAAATTGTTTAAATCATGACCCCCGGGGGTAGGGCGGGGCCACAATGGGGAATCCAAGTTTTACATAGAAATATATAGGAACAAACTTTAAAAATCTTCTTCTCAAGAACCACTGGGCCAGAAAAGCTGAAACTTATATGGAAGCATCCTGGGGTAGTGTAGATTCTAAATTGTTCAAATCATGACCCCCGGGGGTTGGGCAGGGCCACAATAGGGAATCCAAGTTTTACATAGAAATATATAGGAACAAACTTTAAAAATCTTCTTCTCAAGAACCACTGGGCCAGAAAAGCTGAAACTTGTGTGGAAGCATCCTGGGGTAGTGTAGAATCTAAATTGTTCAAATCATGACCCCCGGGGGTTGGGCGGGGCCACAATAGAGAATCCAAGTTTTACATAGAAATGTATAGGAACAAACTTTAAAAATCTTCTTCTCAAGAACCACTGGGCCAGAAAAGCTGAAACTTATGTGGAAGCATCCTGGGGTAGTGTAGAATCTAAATTTTGAAATCATGACCCCCGGGGGTTGGGTGGGACCACAATAGAGAATCTGTAGATTCTAAATTGTTAAAATTGTAACCCTGGGGGGGGGGCATTTTAGTAAAGAACGACATCACCAGTGCTACTCAGGTGAGTGTTGTGGCCCATGAACCTCTTGTTTATGTTTTTGATTTTTTAAAAATCATTCTGTCCTGTAAATTATGTGTACATGCAGTTATGTCAAAACTTTCACACTAGAGCCTTGGCAGGTTTCAATTCAGATCTAGTAGATTATGCATTAAAGCACTGAATTCCTCTTTCATACATAACATGTATCAAGGCTTATGTAAAATATTGAGAGAAGTTACAGGTATGGTTGGTTATAGTTCAAATAAAAATTTAAAAATGTCTTTATTTTTACAGGAACAAAAGCGAGCCTGGGCAGAGTCTGTTTATTTCTGTGGTCAACAAGTGGTGGATTTCAGGAGACTCATTCAGAGTCAAAGGGCAGCTATGTAAGTTTTCTGTTAATTTGTGGTATATTGAAGTCAGACAATTTAGGACCAAAGTGGTTACTATAGAAGTATCATATAAGGTTTTGAAGTGTATATTAAAAGGAACTGTTTCAAAATTAGAGTAATTGTGCAAAATTGGTGTAATGAAAATTTTTCTGTGCTTTAGCATCTAAATTTTTCTTAAAGTCTTGGTTGATTCATATCATTTGATATTCTAAGTACTTTCTGTATTTTGTTTCAGGTTAAGTTTACTTAGAACCAACTCTAGTTTTCTGAAGATGAAGAACAATATGGTGGGTAGTTGTGATCACCTATTGTCAAAGATGCAGTATTTCAAAGAATGGTAGGACATACAGAATGATATCATATTAGGGATAAGGAAAATACACATCTTCTTGTTAACTGATAATTCCTTATATCTAAGTACTCTCTAAGTGAGTTTTACTGTATTTCTTTTTAATCCAAATGTACAGCATTGATCAATAATTGGAGCCTATTTGTATGAATAAATCAAACAGTTGCAAAATAATACATATGTATAGTACATGTAAATACACTGGATGAGTTAATAAATGGAATTGAAATTTTTGTTTAAATGTGGTTTTAAAGTGTCTATAAATAATTTCAGTTTACAACATGACCTTGACATGTATGAAATCCAGAAGTCAGATGGAGTACAAAGTAAGTGTAGAAGTCTCACTTTCAAATAAATCTATAAATAACCAAAATTTTGTGCAGCTTTGTAGAAGCTTGATAGAATTACTGAAGGAACCTTTGAATTGACGTAGATAAGATAAAGATTTTTAATAACTGCCCTTTTTGAGACTCGAATTCATACATGTATGTAGAACTCATTTAGACATGTTCCTTATATCTCAAAGATTTGCATTCCAGATACCAAATATCTACACTTTCTTTCATGAGAATAGAATTATATATAACCTTAATCAAAATGTCTGAAAACAGTAATTTTTATTTCTTACACATTACATTCTTTCATATGTATTGATTTTTACATTTTTCTTATTCTTGAAAAGACATTGACATTAAAAAGTGATTTTCTTTTTTTACAGATGCTGAAAAGGTAGTGGCCAAATGGAAGAGAATTGGAGAAGAAGTGGATGTCCATAGAAACCTGGTACAATACTGAAAGGAATCCATCATCACAACCCCCCATCCTTTCTCTCTTCCTCTCTCACCCCCTCTATCTCTCTTCCCCTTCTCTCTCACCCCTCCCTCTTTTGCTCTCACTACAGTAAAATTCGTTTAGTTCGAACACAGATATTGGGAATTCACAGATATAGCAAAGTTATCTTGGATCCCCAGCTATATAAATTTAACGAATTCATTACACAGATATAACGAATTACAAATATAGAGAAGTGATTTCATAGGTCCCAGTGACTTCGTTATAACCGAGTTTTACTGTATTTCTAACCCCTCTCACTCCTCTCTGAATCACTTTAAAGTTTATCCCCGTGAAGCTGAATTCTAAGGTATTTAATCCTGATTTCTTGTAGAGAGAGAAAGTGACCAAGCTAGACCAACAATCCACTGCCTTACAGACCAAGATTGTGGAATTACAAAAGAGTCCATTCGCTCGAGGCAAACTGAATGAAGTTTTAGAAGATATGTAAGTTTCTGAAAGAAAAATGTCAGCTTTATGTGAAAAAAGCCTTTTAGGTTTAATATGAAGGGGAAAAAAAAAGAATTTTCATCCTACGTAGCTATTGATAGTTTATTAAATGATTTTACTTTCAGAGAGAAGAAAGCTGTAACTCTATATCATGACATGAGACAAGCCGGCAAAGGTTGGATAAAAATAAATCAAATTTTCTATATTCATTCTCTTAATTTTGAAATATTGAACATAATGTGTGATGAAGAGTCTTGGAACTTTTTTTATTTTTGAGAGGTGTGAAGGGATTGGAAAAAAAGTGTTTTTTTAGTATTAAATGGGAAAACAATAGTCACAATATACACTCAACCACTTGGAAAATGCTGAAATAAAAACTAGAAGTATAAATTAATCTGAATAGATTTTTACGGAGTATTCCATGAATGGCACATATGTTTTTCAAAATTCTGATGATGAGCTTCTTTGTGATGCAGGTGGACGGGATATCTATAAAGACCACAGCCCAATGGTTCAGATTGTCGTAAAGTGTCTCATCCATAGGGATAAAAGTTTACAGGATTTATACACACATTTAGGGTAAGGAATAATGTATACAGAATCTGCTTACATTTAGGGTTAGAAATAATGTTTACAGGATCACAACATTTAGGGCTAGGAATAATATTTACAGGATCACAATTAACTTGTAGGGTAAGGAATATAGTTTACAGGATCAAAATATTTCTTGTAAAGAATAATGTTTACAGGATCTCTACACATATTGAGGGTAAGAGTATGAAGTATGTTTAAAGGTTCTAAATACAATAAGTGTAAGGGACAGCGATTTACAGAATCATATGAACAGAAAGTTAACAGGATTTTGTACACATTTATGGCAAGGTACAAAAACTTCACACTTTACAGGATCATTATACTCACCTAGGGTAAGGAACAAAAGTTTATGAGATCTGCACACTTGTTTAGGGTTTGGACAATACATTACACAATCTAAACTCAGATTAAAGATCAATATGACACAGGTGACTTAAATTTTTGTTAGTTACATTTTAAGTACCAGGGTAACTTTTAAGTATTTTTCTTCTTTGGAGGAATTTTGTAGGAACTTGTTTATATGGCACATGAAACAACAAGAATTTGAAGATTGCCTTTGAAATTAGATATACATGTACAAAATATTTTTTTAATTGCAGGAAAATCTGTGCCTGTAAACATGAACTGTTCCAGTTATTACCCAGCATTCAGCAGTGCTGTAAACAGATCACAGATGCCACAAACAAACTGTTACAGTCACAGAAACAGAGACAATCTGATATCTGGAGTCTGATCAAAATGGCTGTAAGCTTTTGCCCACAGTTGTAGCTAACAAAGTTCTAAATTCTATTGTGTAAATGCATTTTTAAGCCTGTTTTTTTTTTCATATCCCCTTTCCCAAAAGATTGACACTTACGCAGAGATCTTGTGCAGTTATTTCATGCTATTAGGAGGGGGTAAAGCTGTTCATTTTGGACAATTTTCAAAATAGCAAAATCACGTTTTCCTTAATAAAAATAATTTATGAAATACACCAAAACATGTACCATGTCTTTTTTAACAGACATTTTTAGCCCCTCTACCCTCCTCAAACCAATGCTTTGTAGATAGAGGAATTAAATAATTAAGGCAGGTGAAGATATTCTAAACAAAATGACTGTTTCTGAAGTACTGAAACTATAGTAAAGGCAACTCCTTCTTTGCAGACACAAAATGGCATGACAAGGCAGGATTCCAAGGGAAGTAACTCTGCAAACTCCTGGGGTGCCTCTTCATTAGAGTCCATGAAAGTCTGCGATGACAACAGGGAGACTGTCAAAAAGTAAGCACCATTTAAAGAGCCATGATTTAGTGTTTTTAAACACTGTATAAACATTTAAGGGTGCATGTTCATCTCAAATGTGTAAAAGAAATGTATATTTATATATGATGTAAGAATATTAAATCTGAAGGTCTGGAATTTTTTTTTTTTTGTTGAAGTGCATCCCTACAAACTTCATAATTTGACTTCAAGTAGAGAACATTATCTGAATATTCAGTTGTTTGAACATTTAGAATTAAATGCATCCGAAATAGGTAAATATACATGTATGTGTTTGTAGCACTCTGAGAATTTCAACTTTCAATTGGAATTTTTTTCAGATTTGATGACATTATAAAGACAGTGATGGAGGAACATGAAGAACACATGTCTTCAATGGATTGGAGTTTTCTACCTCCTTTACAAAAGAACACTTCCTGATTCTGACTTACATTCATATTCTGCTCAACTACCAAGTTAGGAAACATTCCAGAAGTCTCAGATTTATGGGAAAGTGCAATATTTATCAAGCATTTTATAGACTATGAACCTGAAGTTTAAAGTACCTACATGTTATTAAATTTGGATGGATCTGATACTTGGATCTGAATATACATGTAGTACATTTCAGTAATGATGATTGCAGTTTGTACTGAATTTGTTTTAAATTTAGTTTGCAAAGGACCAATGTCATGCTTGCTCAAATTAAAGTCCTATTTGTGAAAGTGTAATGTTTAGAATAGGTTATGTTAATGGGATGTTGGCAAAGTTAATGATACATGAAGTATCTTTTTCAATACCTGAATGAGAGTTCTTTCAGTATATACATGTACCTATAGGTTTTATTATTTGGAAAGAACCAAATGTGGTTTGCTAATGTTTGATAAACATTAATCTTGGCTGTTACATTTTAGAATGACCTAGGTTGTACACTGTGTTTGATTATGGAGTTTCTTTGTTGTAGAACTAATTAAATCTTCCATAGATGTATTTTGATGAACAGTGACTACGAATGAATATTACACTTTCATATTCTGCTCAATAATATTTATTTTGCCAGTAGTTTGTCTTTTCCCCAGTTAAATAAAAAAAATCCTTTTGTCATGGTTATCAAATAAATTTTGTAAGTGCTATAACTTGACCCCCTTGATTGGAATTAATTAAAACTTACATTGTCGTATGTTGCAGGAGTCTTTTTAAAGCAGGTTATGATGTCAACAAGCTTATATCTGTAAATGTCATTTGGCATAAAGACATGTCCATACTCCACAGAAAATCAAACTAGAATTATGTATATTCCCTATCTTATGCAAATACGTACAAAATGACTCATAGAGGTCAAATCAAGTCAACTGTTGATAAAAATAAGTACATGTATTACAAGTGAATCTTACTTCACATGTAATGAAGTAAAAATAGTCCTTTAATATTTGAAAATCAATAGAATTTGTTGATCATGACATGGACATATGTTATAACAAGTTTTCAAGGCAATAATTTAATTGTTAAGTGAAATAGTTAAAGTATCTTGAACAGTTCCTCTTGATATCCATTACATGAAATTTAGCAGATCTTCATTGAATAAAATGTCAATGTTATGTTTCCTTTGATCTAAGGTTGGCAAAGTAGGAAAAAAGACACATACCGGTATTTTTGTTTTAAAACATTATCAACATGTTTCATTTAATGTAACAATAGTCCCCTGTCTGTTTGTTTTGTCCAGGTTGTTTTTTTTTTTTTATTTTCATCATAGTAAGTTTTTAAGAAGTTCATTTGTATATGTATCTGGGATTAGTTATGTCAAGTACCTGTGTACTATTTGTTAAAGTGAAATCATTTTTGATGTCTCATACTCTTAAATATCTTCAGACCTGTCAAGCTTGAGATACCATGGTTAGTCTATACCAGTAATTTGCTACTGCCATTGTTAATTCATAGTCATAAAACATTGTATAAATTGTCACTTTCGTTTTGCTATTTAATTATCTGTTTGTACATGTTGACAGAAAATTGAAACAAAAACCCTTCTGTCCATTAAGATGGTGTTGAAGCAAGATGATGCTTCTCACACAGATGTTTGCAGAGACAGATTCAGAACATCGTACTTCAGTATTTTAATTAATTACTTACCCGGTAAATAGCTAGGAGTTATTTATGGGGTTTTAAGATTTTTTTTCATTCTTGTACACTATGTGTATATTGTTGATATAAAGTCATTCATATAGAAAATGATTGTACAAATCCAAGTTTGCATAACTTACATAAATTCTTGTGCTGATAAAATGACTTGTTCTAAACAATTCATAATTGTGTCATAATTACCGATAAATTCAGACATGCAGGCAAATGTTTCATAATAAGATAACTGTGATATTTTGTTATAAATTCTTGTTTTATGGTGCTTTTATATGTATGTTTTAAGTTAAAACTTAAGGATTATGTAGTATTATGGAGAGTACATATATATGACAATAAACAATTATGAACTGAATCAGTTTTCTCTTCTGGTGTGAAAATTTTTAACGAGTCAATAACTGTAAATAAAATTTACTTTCTTGGGATAAAATTTCCGTGATTTGAAAAAAGAAATTGCTTTGTGGGACTTGATTTTTTGGTTAAAGAATGATAATAGACATGCAGGATACCGTAATTTGAAACTTAAACATATGGGTCGAGACATGAATTTATGGGTCTCTACAATCTAAAACAACAAGAGGCCCATGGGACACAATGCTCACCTGAGTAACTGGCCCTACTGTTTTCATCCCATGTAATACCTATTTTGGCCCCCTCCTATCCCCATCTCTACACTGCACACTAAAGAGTTAATGATAAAAAAGATATTGCAGTATAAATTTTATTTTGTTACAAAAATGGATTAACATCAATTAGTAAACCAGGCAATTCATAGCACCATAAACATATCATCTATAACAGAAAATCTAACATTTTCCTCAGTTTATTTCCCACCGAGATCAATTTGATTGTCTTATAACTGTTTGACATCATTTTACTATCAACTTGACACTGAGGAGCATTCATATCTGTATAAATCACAAATCATAAAATCATAATATAAAATATTACTGGAATGTCAACAAGTTGTACCGGGGTATACAAATAACCCCTGATTTAAAATATTATCACAGATATTTGGGTGATTGTCACATACAAAACTCAGTAAGAGCTGAGTCTACTCCACTTTCCGAGCTTTCATGGTTTTGCTGTATAAGACCGAGGACCACAAGCAGAAAGAGAATAAAAACACTCCTTGTAGAGCTACAACGAAGCTAGGCCTGTAACCGGGGGCACCATAGAAACCATAGTGACACAGCAAGACTTCTCCGATTAACGTCAGCAGACATCTTAGGACTTCATACTGGGGAGCAGAGGGACTGAAAAATAGAGACATGCACTCTGAAAGTTTCTTCAAAACTAAATTTAAGGAATGAATGTCTATGCAACTTACCGAATGAAATTACAATTTTATTTACCATATACAATGTACTTCGATAAAAGATGAAGGACTTTGTTTTATGTGGGCCCTTTTGTCTGCTTTTTACTTAACTTGAGCCCAAAAATTTTAAAATACAGAACCAGTGTACCAGTAAATAGATATACTATCTAAAGCAATATAGAATTTAATGATCAAAACTTAATTAAAGTGCAAAATCAAGGTAAAAGATGAAATTCAGACATGTCAACTTGATCAAACTTCTCTCCTTGTGAGTTAATGGTACATGTCTAGTTCTGGACCATACAACAGTTTGGACTTTGTCTGACTTCTCTAAGTTAGAAATACCATGTTTCACCAACACCTCTTCATTCCATACTTACTTGTTATCAAAAATCTTCCCAAAGGAGGTCAGACAGAGTCCAATATGGAGAACAAACAGCAAGACAGATAACTGTGACAATCCCTATTATTGGAAAACAGTTCATGTAGATGTGCATTTGCATTAACTCATCCAGTATTAATATTATCATTTATTGTAGAAAAAAAGGAAGTAATTTGGCTAAAACAATATCAAGAAATATCTATGATTTTGCTTATTTCAAGTAATATGTATTTAAGCAATAGTTTTAAGTGACAGTTTGCTAAAAGATCATAGGAAGATCCAGTAAAAATACAAATAAACACAATTTTAACAATGCTTTAATTTTTAGTTTAACAAAAAGATCAAACTTGCAAGGCTATAAATTTTCCTTTTAAGCATTTTACGTATATATTAGTAACTTACTTCCTTCCTGGCTGCCACTTCTTGATAGAACAGAAGCTCGAGAGTGAAGTGTACCACAGTATATACACTGACCCAGGCGGGGAGTTTGACATCGTACTGGGGCCAGGGGGCCTTCACCTGAAAAACACGCATGTGAAATATGGTTTACTGAGGAAGCAGGAGAGAAAGCAATGAATACAATACTTCTAGGTCATCTTAGTGAGATGTGTAATAATGAGAGTTAAAATCACTCATGTTAACTTACTGTAAATGTATTCTATTTGGTGCATATGATATTTAGTGGGAATTGAATTTTCAACAAGTTAGCGTAGATTTGATTTTAGTGCTATCTGAATGTGCTAGATATAAATGTATGAAATCGGGACATTTAGCGATATACTTGAATGAGCGGCTTTCCACCAAAAGCACTAAATAAAATTCACTGCTAAATGTAATACATTTACAGTATGTCAACTTGATATTCAAATTTAATACACACCACAGGGATGTCCTTTATATCCCCTGTCCTAGGTTTACCAGGGCCCCATCCTGGTCCACAGAACAACACCTTCAGTTTGTTTCTCCACCCATCCATCTCCCTGAATCTCTCAATCATGTACTTCAGATACCCAAACTAAAAACAGGTACAAGATGCTTAACTACTGGCTTAAAATAAATCACTGTATACATATATGTTCAAAAAATTGATCTGGCTAACACCAACCTGAATGACGTTTGGATCAAATGTGTTTAATGGATGAGTCAGACCATACACAACTTCTTCCTCCTCAGCTTGAAAGGTACCTAAAACAATACTTAGGTTGTAGAATTTGTTACATGTTGGTGCATTTATTTCTGCATATTTAAACTGCAATACAAACATAAACCAGTAACTAACTGGCACAATCCCAAATCAGTGTATTAAGTATTTCTTAGAGTATTACTGAAAAATCATGATGTAGAGGTAGTCAGGCTGTAGCTCAATATCAATTGCACCAAAATATGAATTCTACCTAAATATGAACACTTCAAGTATTTATGTATAAAAGTCACCAGTAGGAAATTGACAAAAACAAAAGAAATGATTTTTTTTTTTTACCAAACAGCCTGTCCCAGATGATGAGAGTGCCAGCGTAGTTTTTATCAATACAGTAAGGATTTCTCCCATGATGCACTCTGTGGTGGCTGGGTGTGTTCAGAATGTATTCCAGAGGACCCAGAGATTTTACGTACTACAAAAACAAATAATACCTAGGTATTCATTTAGATACATCAACAAAAACACAATAATCCTTATACTGTAGATCCCAGAGTATTTGCCACACCATATTATCATAAGATATGTATGTGGTAGTTATAGGTAAGACAAAATTTTTATGAATCCATATAATTTTTACCAATTTAAATATACCTGAGAATGAAATTTCACAAGGAGACAGTCTCCCAAAATTTTGCACAAAAGTTTAAGCAAATATAAAGTGATTTACAATATTCCAAATTGTACATAATATGCTTGTATTACATACCTGAGTGTGGATCCAAAATTGATACAAAATATTCAACTCTTGGTGAACCATGAAAACAGAGGGTGGCATGAATAAGGCAAGAGGAAGGTAGAAAACCTGAAATTAAACTTAGAAATATATACACTGTGTTTAAATAAAACATGCAATCAGAGACATATAAAACCAGAGATTCGCAACTCTCCGAAATCTCGCGTAATCTCGCGAGTGTGACTAAAATGGGTAGCGAAACCCGGGCCGGGCCGGGAATTTGAAAACTGAGAGCCGGGTTTTTGGTAATTCCGAGATAAATACTCATTCTTTCTTCATGAAATTTACAGACATAGTTTATAACTATAGGTTTTGCCTTCGCTGAGAATTCTAAGTCAAAATGTTGTGTTTTTCGATGATTATCGCCGATTGTCCTTTTCCAGGTGACTAAAATGGGTAGCGAGTCCGGTTTACTCATTTTGGCGATTTTAAGCTTAATGCATCGAAAGTGTTTGTGATATTTGCATTTAATGGTTGTTTATTAACTTCAAATAGTTAAATTGTTCAATCATAATGAATTTAAATGTCGATTATTAGGGTTTTTGTCATTTTTCATAGAACCGGGACAGGTCAAAACCGGACGCGTTTGCCCGGGACAAATTAATAATTCCGGATTGCCAGAGAAAGAATGCAGATTTTTTTCAGTCCCTGACCGAGATACATCTAAGAAATAAATTGGAAAAATTAATAAAAATATGCAAATCAAAAAAAGAGTCATTTATATTTCAATTATATGTCATTCTCTGATAAGTATTTCGGAAATAAAAGGTTTTTCCCGGGTGAACGTGTCCGGTTTCGACCAATCCCGGGTGTTCAAAAAATGCGTTTATTTTCAATAATCGTGATTTATTACTGCAACAGTTAAATGTTTTAGGTAGTTAAAGTTCAATTCCAAAGATCCAAATGAAATAATTGTAAATATACTGCCGAAATTAAGTTTAAACCGCTAAAATGAGCAATCCGGGCTCGCTACCCATTTTAGTCACTTGGAAAAGGACAATCGGTGATAATCATTGAAAAACAAAACATTTTGACCTAAAACTTTCAGCGAAGGCCAATCCTAGAATAATAAACTATGTCCGTAAATTTCATGAAGAAAGAATGAGTATTTATTTCGTGATTATCAAAAGCCCGGTTTTCGTTATCAAAAATCCCGGCCCGGCCCGGGTTTCGCTACCCATTTTAGTCACACTCTAATCTCGCAGGTCCTATTGTTTACAATTTTTCAAATCTCGGACTGTGCGAGAGTTAAAATGGAGGCTACCGACGATGTAAACAGAAACTTTTTAATTAATATTTTGGCTTGAGAAGGCGATAAACAGACTTTTTTGTTGTTTTAATTACTGAAGAAATATAATTCGGCAGTTAGGAAACCGATCCATGTTTATTTTACGCTTTAAATTGCCTTGGTTTTATATGTCTCTGATGCAATGTCCCCTTTCTTGTCCATTTTCTACAATGTTACTTGAATTTTCTAAATGCTTTTAAAATTCTTCAAAAGACTAATGCTTTCAAATAAGCATTAGAATAAAATCTTACCCATGAAGTGTAAACCTGAAGCACAGATTGTCGTAGAGCTGTCGTGAAATTGTAGTACTCAGAACTGTGATGTACTTGATGGGCAGCCCACATAAAATTCACCTCTGAAGAAAAAAATAATCTTTATCAAAATAGACTTACTGTATACATGCAGGGTTGTTTATGTCATTCACACCTGAAAACAATTTTCGCCTGCTTTAAATTTGCCCAAACGCAGTTGTAATTAAAAGACAATACTTTTTCCTTTGAAATTGAACTGCTTTAAATTTGCACACTTGCAACAAGGGCAAAAAAATTCTGTTTACACATTTCACTTTATATTTTGACTGAAAGTGTATACTGACAATTTGTGAAACAACTACTAACAACAAAATCTAAATAGATTAATTAGATGCAGTATTTTAGCTACAGGTCATTCAATAATACTTTAATATATTTTTTTATCAAATTTCACACCATGTGCCAATCTGTGAAACCAGTAATATCCTAGATCCACCCCCAGAAAACATATCCACCATGTCCACGCAGAGTCCCATGGCAACTCGTAAATATGGTATCTGTCGTACACCCATATATATCCAGTGTACATAATGGATTTCAATAGAAACCTACAGATGAACAAAAAGAAAATCAGAAAACATTTTTTTATTCACAGAAGGAAGTTAATGACAACGAAAGAGTCATAAAAAATTGTCAGATAGGGAATTTTCATTTGGATTGCATACACACTTTCTCTAAAAGATTATTCAATGGCCAAGGTTGATAACTATAGTGCTATGTTTTACATAATGCACGATATGTCTTCTTTAATCAAAAAACAAACATTCAAAAATTTTAAAAGTCATAGAATACTTACATTGGGAGTCGTGAATACTGTCCAGCACCTATGGAGGTAGCACCATCATTGAATCGGGCTTTCCTGTCCTTTTTGTACCACATGACTGCCATCTCCAGAAAAATGCACACAAAGAAGAAGGGGGTTGCCTGAGAAAGAAATAAAGCTCCTTGTTTTTAACATCTTCGGAAATAATTTTAAAATCATTGTCATCCATTTCAATTTCTTTTGTAGATAATCAAAAAATTTGATGTTTCAGCGATTTACAGTTAAAATTTTTCAAGTTGCACATTCTAATCATGATTTTACATGCCCAGTCACTGAATGCTCTGACTTCATTAAGTGTCGATGCTGGTCATAGTGGTCAAGTGTTTTTTTTACAAAAGAGACATGTTAATGGGTCTTTTATACACGATAGGCAAGTTAGGCAACAGATAAATGATAACTGGATATGGTGTAATTTGAAATGTTTAGATTGATGCACAAGTGAGGGTAAAGGGAGAGTTTTTTCCCTTCAAATTCTTAATCTGTACTCAGATGGGAAGAAATGCAAGGACTGTGTCATCATGTATCACAATTGTTTGTGTTCCAAATTTCTAATCCCAGATCTTTTGCACTTATGTAAAATGTTTGATCAAGTAGTATTTTTTGATACATAAACATTCACACAGAGCAAACAATAGAATCTAGTACTGTATGAATGTGGTGTTGCCTAATTGGCACTGAATACCCTTGAAAAGATTCAGATTGTACCTCCACCCAACCCTGCTTTGCAATAAGCAGATAAAAATAGTATCATTAATTTTTTTTTTATTTTTATCAAATAGATATACACGTAGTTATAGAATCAAATTATCATTGGAAATGATTTATGCTTATCCAAAGTTATGCAGGTCCAGCACAATACCCTGATAAAGGTATATAGCTTGATAAAGCTATATAGCTTTATCAAGGTATTTAACATTTCTTGATCAAGGTATTTTATGTAATGAAAATTCAAAAAAATTCTTTAAAAATTAAATACTGAAAGTCGAGTTCTGAGTTTTTGTCAGTGTGTCTACTCGTGCATGAAAAACACTCTGGTATCAAAAAGAAAGCATAAAATAACGTCTCCTCACACGACACGTTTTTGTACTGATTTGTTTGTGTTTGAGTACTTTACATGCATGGGTGAATTTACTGACAACAACTCAGAACTCGACTTTCAGTAATTAATTTATAGCGAAGCGCCGCTTGCTTAGCGAGCTCAATAGACTAACGTGTACGAATGGAGGAAATTCGGGTTGAAATCTGCACATTGTTCCAAGAAATTTTTATCTCACCGCGTGAAAAAATTCCAAACTCCCAATAATCCTTTGCGGTGCATAGCAACATGGTGGCTAAAACATAGCAACAACTTACTTGAAAAAAAATACAAAAAACATTTTAATGCAATCTCCATGCCATAAAAATATAGTTTGCATCCTAAGTCAACACAGGACTTTTTATCTGACGTCATACTTTTCGTCATTTAACGGCTCGGGTATTTCCGATTTGTCGGAAACTTCCGAGAAGTTCGGAATCTCGATCCCGATGCTTCGGAAGTTATTTCTTTTTATTGTTTTGTTTTCTTCTTTTTTTCTTTTTCTTGAATGATAGGCAGTACATGTGTAGGTTTTTTATTGTACATAACTGCGCTCGCCCCAACGGTCACACCGTAAAACATATTAAATAATTTTTTAGAATTTTCATTACATAAAATACCTTGATCAAGGTATTTTAAATACCTTCATAAAGCTATATAGCTTTATCAAGCTATATACCTTTATCGGGGTATTGTGCTGGACCTGTTATGTAACACAACGCTTAAAGGAATAATGATGGAGTGACAGTACAAACTCTTACTTCATTAATGTAAAGTGGAACTTCTTCGACATCTTTAAAGGAAGTTTCATTCACTGTCACTAAATAAAACAACCGTCTGACACCTGTCAAGAAGGGGACTTTGGCCAGGTTGGACATTTTCTCAACGCGGATACAGCCAATAGAGTGCTAAACTAGGAGCCCAAGCGGATCGACGATAAAAATTCCGGAGTTGCTAGCACGAGCTAATCTTCATTTCCTTCACGTATAATTTTTGGAAACTCTTTTATACCTGTATATTAATGGACAGCGAAACATTTATTGTAATTTTAACACTTCTTACTGTGATGTTGAATTTAGCAATTTTTTTGTGTTTTTTTGTTGTTTTTTACAACTTGTATATTCGTCCCCCCGGCCGCCTTCCCGGCCCAAAGCATTCAGCTGTCAGTAATTGATTCACAAAAATTTTAATCCTGGTCATGATTTTTGAATGAAAAGAGAGTCTTTCAGTCTGTCACAAAAAACTTTAACATTGGTCATATCTTTTGTATGAGAAGAAATGGGGCTTTCATATTCCACATCACAGGCACTTAAATTGTTTTAGACACGGGCACCCCCCTGTACTCCGTATACGAAACAAGTGTAGACCTGTGTTCCACATGTGCATTACATGTGATATGAAAACAGACACTTGAGGATAAAGTTCAATGCCGAATTCAACACCCTAGAGGAAAAAGGGGACAGAGAATACTTCCAGTATTTATAAGTTCTTGACAGTGAAAGTTTACAAATAATTTTGAAAATAAATCGTGTTACTAACTGTATGTATTCCCTTACAGAGAGAGCCCTGACAGAAACTAGACACAGATCACAGGCCCTGTCCATGTGGTTAAATGTGTACACGACCGAACTGTCCAGGAAGTAAGACCATAAATAATATTTTTTCTTCTGTTTTTCTCTTTTATGTTAGACACACAGTCTGCTGGACAGTTCGTTCGGAGAGCTCAACAACGACAAAAGTTCTGGTACATGTTTCCTTGTTGATTAAATATATGATTGAAATGTGTGCTTCTTCGTTTCTATGAGTGCAAAGCAAAATACAGGCTTTGAATTACAGGCGCGTAGCATCGTTTTTTGAAAGTTGGGAGGGGCCAGCCAGAAGAATTTTTTTTTTTACTTACCTGAAAAAGTTGACAAGCAAAAAAAAAAAACCCCTGTTGCTACGCCCCTGAATTATGTCCATCTTGAACTAAGCGTTAAAGATGTGTCTCGGCGTGCTTTAATAAACAAATTTGTTGAAGCAAACTTATACTTTGTCAAATAAATGTTCGATTTTTTAAAATATAAAACTAGACTTTGACCCGTGCGTGCACGGGTTGACATTGTTATGAATGCATCCATGTGCATATCGGGCATTTAAAAAATCGATACATCGACACATTACTTTTGTCAAGTGAAATAGTCCTGGCCCCAAGATCATGAAGCACTTAAGCTTAAGTCTAGATATGCATATGCGCTGAAATCTTTTTTAGAAATTAAGCAGTCCAAAATGAAAATTCTTTTTAATTTTGTATCATCAATCTGCTGGCATATGCAAATTAAGAGTTTTTTTTATAGAAGGTTGAAATTTAGCCTGTCTCATGATTCTAGGGCAGGGTCTTAGGGAAATGGATCTTGCTAACTCCCTCAATGATAAACTGTATACCCAAGAGCTAAAACAGAAGTTAATTAGGTTTTTTTTTTTTTTTTTTTTTTTTTTTTTTTTTTTTTTTTGCGTTACTAATACATGCAGCTCCTATAGTAAAGAGCGCAAAAATCTTCCATCGGCTTTCAAATGTGAATCATCAAATCATTTCAGATTGTCACATATCAATTTTAATATTTTCGAATTTCATTTAGTGCACAGAAACACTATAACCAGCATAAATAATCAGAACACAAGGGGTAAAGTCTGTTTAGAGACAGTTGAATACTGAGTAGATGTGGTACATGGTCTAGCAGATGATCCAAGTGATGAATATGCATTGTCATAAAAAAGTAGGCCTACATGTATGTAAATATCAGTCAAAATCATATAAGTAAATTACACGTATAGCGAACTTTCAATTTTCATTTGTTAGGAACCTAGATGTACTATAAGTTAGTACACTCTATGTAAGAGTATGTCCCTTTTTATAACCATTCTTTTTATATCCGGAGTTTAACAATTTACGATTTACAAATTAGACCTATAGTAAAATCATTTCGCCGAATTTAAACATATTCGCTACATCAGGAATTTTCTGTATTCATAAACTGTATATTGATAAACCCTCGATGTACCAATGATGTACTAAATAAAATGAATATAAAATATTATTGCAGATTGCACTTAAAGTTAAATTACAGCAAAAGAAAAAAATCGTAAAGTGAAAAACGATGATAAAACTTAAAGCATAGTTATTTCAAGCACCACAACTCTTCAATTTCACATTGTACAACACAAATAAACGAATAAACAAAAATTGATATAAGGACTGAACAATGAGCGACATTTATTCGTCCTTGTGAGGTTCTGGATCGCTGTCAAAGTGTTTATTCTTCCCTGGCTGTTGGACAATGCCGTAAGGTTTAAGGTGGTATAATAAGTAGTCCATTAGATACATATCGGAGGGGGACATATAATGAAAGGAGATACTGTAGTCACTGCAGCAACCAAGGCCCTGTAAGGAGGGAAAAAAATATAGATTTCGATAAAAGTTTTAAAACAAAACAAGACAAAAATATGAAACAAATTCAAGTTTGATTTTTCTAGGTTACTCCCGAAAGTAAAATCCATGAGAACAAAACTGTAATTCAGATACATGTAAAACCCTAACCACCAATTTAGCTGAAGCTAGTTACAAATATATCGACTGTGTTTTATCACGGGCATTCCATTTGAGGTGTCGGGAAAGTTAACTGTATAATATCTACCTTTCGTGGCTTATGGGCGCTGTATTTGTAAAACCACTCCGGGTGGTGGCCTTCCAGGTGAGCGATTGGCACAAAAGGATGGAAAGTCTCCTTGCCAAACATGTCCAAAGAATCACCTGCTTTTATCCCTAGCTTCATCATACATCTACCCAGCTCTGCGTCCTCTGCGCCGCCATCTTGCCTGCAGATGAACGGGTTGACGCTACCTTCCGTCACAAACTTCTCTAGACTAGCTCTACTCAAGACATACCCCGCACCGCCACTGAAGTAACCCTGCTTCACAATAGGCTTGAATTTATGTCCGAAGAAAACTAAAGAGTTAGGACTGTGGTGGGACAAAAAGTATCTCAAGTTTTCAACTATCATAAAAGTGTCATCGTCTGCTTTTAAAAACCAATCGAATTGATCCCTGTAATGTTCGTAGCAATATCTAAACGCTTGTATCGTTTTCCCAGTCAAATGTTCGCGCCCTTCGGACACTTGTAGACCGACTGTTGGGAAAGAGGTGTTGGTCTGGCTACTGAAAAATATCACTTTATTGCACCGTGTTCCCCACGTGTTTTTCACGGCAGTTGCTTTTTTGGCCAAGTTCTTTGGCGCAGTCATCACCCAGCACAAGACTCGGACTTTCTTACGAAGGTCATTCGCAGCATCTTCGTTGACATCTACAAAATAACGAATGGACGAAATTGGAAACCGAGCTTTATACATCAACGATAGTAAGAGAAAAAAATATGCATTGCATTTTTTTTAAGTCAGAATAGAAAAAAAAAACAGAACATATTTCAACCAAAAGGGTTTGTCAAAATATTTTGACAAAATAATATTGATGAAATTACTATAAAGTACTATCGGTGATACAATGACCTTGTCATTAAATACAATTTGTCACTATTTACACACTAAATTGTCTATGAATTTTTCCGGTTTTCCCAATTATGAGAGCACATGGCGGGTTTGATCAGTTGACAGGGAATGCTCACTCCTCCATGGCACCTGATCCCAATCTGATGTTTTAGAGTTCCATATTTGCTCTGCTCCTGACTTGTATCGTTTGAAATGGACTTTTCAGCTCGAGTACTGTTCGTTATCTTTAAATTTCATCATGTAAAATTCTAGATATCTGTATATAATTTAAAACTTTATTTAAGGTATACAAAAGTTTTATGTGATTTTTTTTATAGGTGTATAAATTAATCAATACCGCTATGGTGGTGATAATCCTGTAGTATTGGTCCCCCAAGTCCTCGGAATTCTTCGTAGTCCAAAACTTCACTGTTATCTTCTGTTACATCGCCTATGAACACAGCCATAACAGGGAAATAAATACAATATATGTATCGTCACATCTCAGTATCAATTCTTACCTATTTTTAAACATTATTTTTACTTTTTTCATTATAAGCAAAAAGGAATTTTATGGAGGATAAAAGAGGATAAAGAACAGCCGTCTAGTATGAAGGGTGAAAATGCTTTGCTTTTTACACAACACTCGAAATCTACTTTTTTTTTACGGCTTTCCTGGCCAAGTTTTGATCGTTGAATTGAAAAGTATCTTTTTCAAGATCTTTTTTTTTTTTGAGAGGAGGATCCGAAAAATGGGATTGGGAACATTCCGTAATAAATCTATTTTTAAAAAAAAGCTCTTGAAATTTATGTTCTGTCCTTTAAAAACGTTACTTCCTTAATTTGTCCATTGAATTAGGCCTAACACCGCAAGAAACAGTTTTAAATGACCATTTCTTAATCCCATTTGTCAACAGTCTTTAATTTATTACCTTCATACCACAAGTTGTTCATTGCCATGAAGAACATGGAGAAGCTGAAAGTTGTACAGACGAGGGCGAAAGGAACCCCACCCGAGGTCTGTTGCGGGGGGATATGTCCCCCTCCATCACGAATACCTGGACCTTGTCCGCGCCACTATATTCCACTGTCATCCGCCACAACCCTGTATAATTATTATCTATTATAGTGAATAAAAAGGATGAGGATTCCTTGTACCTGGAATGCGTAATTCTAATGCAACTTTTTTTCTTGCATCTAATCTGTCAAGTATTCCTGTTTGTTCATTGATGTTTCGGGATATAATAATTGAGAGAGAGAGGGGGGGAAGGGGAAAGAGAGAGATAGAGAGACACAGAGAGAGAGAACACCTGTAGAATCCAATGAAAAGGTGAAAATAATCAATACATCGTATTCTAATAACCAGATAACA